ATAATCACTAGTATGCCCGTGTAGTGATTAGAGTCTGATTAGCTCTCTCAGGGAACACTGGTTAGATTCAATGCCAGGACGTTTGCTATAGCTGCGTATTTGCTGGGGATAATACCAAATACAATGCATATTGTCATGAATAATGAACTAAACTAGCTTTACAAGAAAAGGAATTTAAAATATATAATTCAAAACTGTAGTTTGCAGAGGCGCTTTGCAGTAAAACATTGTAACACCTCACTCCCATCCTAAGCAGACCACAAGTAATTACAATCTATAAAGGAATATTGTTTTAATATGGAAATGGAATCCTCGTCATAGTTCACTCAGTGCAGCCTGTCATATAATTTTATGGCAAAATTCCTGAGGGAGAAGCCGAGGCTTTCTCTCTGCTGGCAGCCTGGTTTCAGTTGAGTGGGAGCAGTGAGTCTGATGTGTTTGTCTGTTAAATCTGATAACAGTATTTGATCAGTTAGCACTAACTACTGATGTATCTGCACAGTCTTAATTAAAGAGACTACCATGGACAGATAAGCCAGAACGATGGGAATGTTTCATTGATAAGTACATCTGCCTAAATAAGGAACCAATTGTGATGTTAACAGGAAAGATAATTACTAGTTTTTGGCCAACGTTATGTATCTAGAGATTAATAACCTCATCATGCCCAACAGTTCTCAGTCCTGCAATGACGCACTTTGAATCAGGGTAACATTGTGGAAGCGTATAGACTCCTTGCAGTCTATTTCAGGCAGAGATACTAAGATATTTGTGCTCCAGTACTTTGTCTGATCAAAGTGCCGATATGTAGAGCACAGACTCGCGTCTCTGCTCTAAGCTGTGTGGGTTTGAGCCCCTGCGCTGCCACTTTGCACTAGTATAGTGTTGTGATTCAGTGATAAGGTCATCAGGCTGCCAGTCAGGGCCGAGAGCCATGTCTGTGTTCTGTATCGTCTTCCTGTAGCCCTCTAGATGTCTGACAGGATCCAGAGCCCGGACGGCAGTGTGGCACCATCCTTCACTTGGCAAGCTCGCCATATGCACATTTCATCATGTGAAATAGAGACGAGACCAAGAGTCTCCGAGCCGGCGGGTGACGGAAAGCCCCTGTCACATGAATTAACTCCTGTATGTATGATGGAGCGCTAGCCGTGGCTGAGGGCACTTTACAAACCCCACCTCCCCCCTACTTCGCCTTACTATTATCCTCCTTCAGGCTTATTGCATGGAGCCCATTCATCTGTTCAGTGTTGAAACATGGCAGAGAGCAATGATATCTGATGGCACCTCCGAGCATCCACCAAGTATACAAGGACCCGCCTCGGCAAAGAGAGAGAGTGGAGGGTGGGCTGAGTGGTGAGTGGTGGGTAGTGGGTGGGGGGACGGTGGGCAGCATGGCTAAAGCCTTGAATGTGCATAGCAGGTCTTTGTGGTGGTCATTGTGTTTTATGACTTCGAAGACAAGACTAGGTAATTATTTGATGTGGAAATACACCAATCTTAACAACGTAAATAGAAAAGTGAAGCAGCCACTGGGATAGAAAACCAATCCACCATGCCATTCATTGAGATGCAGATTTGATGTAGGTCCTGTAATATTATTGATAGGGAAAAATACATAAACAACAGTTTTATCCTAGAGGTTGCAATGTTGAGGTGGTAGGACTGGAAGAAAAGCTCATGAAGCGTTAAATGAAAATGGTTCATCGTCTGGGGACCTTGAAGGTGTCATTTCATGCCAATCAGATCTTTTGATTCGATTTACTACTTGGGTTAAAATGAGAAACTGCAACTAATTGAGTTGCTCGGTAAATGGCAAGGATTCTCCAGTCAGTATTTCTTATATTTGAACAGTGTAGTATATGTTGCTTTTTTCCTTACATTTCTTGTCATATGATGACATTCAGGAAGAATGTTATTGTCTTTCTTATCGTTTCAGCACTGCAATGAGCATTTAAGAGAAAAGTAGGCCTATTGGAAAGATAATTAGAGCAAAACAACTTTCTTTCTGGAGTAGAAAGTAAAATGCACATGAGCGGGAATCAGGTCAAAAATAAAATTTTGATTTGAAATATGCCCAGAATAGATACATAGCTTTGCAATTTGCCCAGGCAATCTGTGATATATATGAATTATTCAGTCTGCGACAACATTTTATCTGTCACTCTCTACTGCAAGAACAAAACACAATAAAAAAGGAATATTTTAATAAATAGTGCAACTGAGATTTATAGAGAAAGTCTAGCTTTATCTGTCATGACTTGACTATATTGTTACTTTCAGATGTTAGTTAAATGGCCATTTTCGTGCCATACCTCCCCTTGCCTGCCACTAATCTTGCACTCCCACTGTTAACTATAATGTTCTAGAGACCAAGGAAACTCAGCCTTAATACTGACCAAAGTGTTGGCCAAGGTAAAATGTGTCATAGCGGTGACACTGAAGTAAAGGCCACTAGATTACAGAAATGGGATCCATTATCTCCATTTTCCAATTGGCGGCAGTGCCCAGAAGATACTTTGACCCTATGATGTCGCTAAAAGAAAGGTCACGTGGGAACCATTATTAACAAAACTACACTCATCATCTAGAATATTTCCAAGATGTCCTCTGCTCCAAAAAAGAGTTTCTGGAACATCTCATCAGTCATTTGTGTTGATCAGCAACCCTTTTGAACCTTTTCCATTATTACCGTAATGTCATGGTACAGAGCAGTTAGCGTCTGACTGGATGAACCTTGACGGTGTAGGGAAGCGCCTGGAAGCAGCAGCGTAAAGGAGTGATGATTGGTGAACTCCAGGGGATTGACCTAACACGAACTGCAGCACACGTTCTTCTCTAATCTCCCTTAGCCGAGCTGCTCTTATTTCAGTGTCAGCCTGAATGGCTTTCACTGCAGCTTTCCATTCAAGAAAAGAAGCAAGAAACTATGTGACTTTTTCAGATCATCACAAAGGATCTTTCCCTGAACTTTACTATTCAGGCAGATAAGTTGATATCTGACTTCACGTGCATTTATATTGCACTTTATTATGAAATGTGCTCAGTTGAAGCCGAGTCCGATGTAATATTCTCAATCATTAATATTGTTCAGCCGCTTATTGATTGTTTTTTTATGTTCTTATTTGAGGCTGCAACAAACCTCCCTTTGATTCTAACTGACAAAGGTGCTATGGAAAATGTGTCTTCCACATACTGTATATTGAATTAGTTCTTCCAAATGAGTTTTTGAAAGCAGCAAACACCCTTGAGCACTTTACTGCATTTTTGTGTTATTAACAGTTAATAATTCCCTCAAACGCACCGGGATGGCCTCACTAAAAGACAATTAAATATGTTCCCTCTGGTTTCCAAATGATTTACCCAAACAAAACTGCTGCCTCAACATTAAGCGCTCAATGAGACTGTCAGCATACAAAAGGCCACACAGAGGGTTCATTTTTTAAATCATGACATTAAAACATCATTGTTACAGCTCTTTTGTTCGCCCATGGCTGCTGGGAAGGGTTCAATGTTATTCATTAACAACAATCATGGCAGCCATCAAAGAGCTACAGCTGCGCTTCTGGGAACAAAGCTCATCTCTTCCCTTTGACAATAGCTCGACACAGGTGTACTGTATGCTAACATTATACACCGCTCTTGCTGCTAGACATTCATTTACCTTTTAGTGTTGCAAATACTTGATTTCATCCAAACTCACTCACTGGAAATCTTTTCATTGACGTTCATCTCATATGAAGTAAAAAGGGATTACCTTCTTAACTTGCCTGACATGGAAAAGTTGAGATGATGAAGAACATTTATGTATTAATGATTTCCCCTCCCAAGTAGTCCATTTGCAGTGAAAAACACCCTGGTGGATTCTAAGTTTCCCCAGTTTGTGTAATTAATTTAGAGATCACATTCTGACAAACTTGAAAGTAAAAAAAAACTAGCTTAGCCGCAGCTCCCCGGCCATGGAGTCATCCATCAATTTGTAATGCCTGGAGAACTCTGAAGCAATTCTCTGTGCTTGAAAGAAAGTGTAAAAATAGCACGCACGCACGCACGCACACACACGCACGCGCACACAAACACACACACACACACGCACACGCACACGCACACGCACACGCACACACACACAGCACTGAGATTTCTGAGCAAGGTAATCATGACTTTAAGACATTCTCTCCATTTGTCGTTCAGTAGAGCTTAACTTGGCTTGAAAATGGGTCTGTTGAAGGACCACAGTGCCCAGCAGCTACTGCCATGTCGACTGAACGCACATTATTTCAGCCAGTGGTCCATGTTGCATTAACTAGTTCAACAGTCAAATCAGAAAATGTATCTTTTAATATTTTAAATATAATTGTGTAGCCTCTGGGACGAATGTATAACATATAGTACCTGATCTCAAACACTATTCTATTTCAGGGTATTAACTGTATTGTATTGGGTTTAACTAAATACAAATTCATTCTAACTAAGGTATCTTTCTACAATGCTGTTGTTTTTCTGTTGAACAGTTGTTGAACAGAAAATATATATCATAATGTCAGGGTCTAAATTCTATAAAATGTGACTACATCCATGCCAATAAAAAAAAAAACGGTCAGTATGTTTTTACTTCCCTTTCGCATTCATATCTTAGAGCTTTATACTTGTACTGTAGGCTTGTTAACTATGCAGTTATGATTCACAAAATAGAAAATGTGCTTTTAACAGATTCTTGAAGGACCTTTGTTTTCCACAGCATCACTGCAAGTCACTTTATAGTGCAGGCAGGCATACTGTATTTAAACTGAATAATCACTCCAACCTGCTGCTTTAAAAGCTTTGAAATCAGTTTCTCATATTTATATTTGAAAATGTAAATAAGCGTATTAAACTGGTCAGTGCTTTAAAACCGAGCCTTGTGTCACACTGCCTGTTTAAACCTTTAGAAGACCAGTTGCTCCTCTAATATGTTCATTACAGTCTCATCATACTTTGTTCCTGGCTGTTGTGTTTGGCAGGCCAGTTGGCGGTGGGAACCTGTGAGATCGTGATGCTCAACAGAGACAGCAGCGTTCCCAGACGGACCATCGCCAGGCAGACGGCCCGCTGCGCCTGCCGGAGAGGCCAGATCGCCGGGACCACCAGGGCCAGGCCGGCGTGTGTGGAAGGTGAGTTCAAAGACCTTTCTAGCCTAGGGGAAAGGAAATTGTTTTAACAGATTTTAGTTGTGAAGTCAAAACAAGATGCCCAATGGCATAAATCAAACCGGGTTGAGAGGGTTACTTTAACAAAACATCCTGTTACAGTTCTTAATTACCTGTAAAAAAATAAATAAAGAACCAATTCCAAATCATTTAACTTAATGTAGGTGTATGACAGAACCATGTAACCATAGAAAAGAAGAAACCAAGATATTACGTTTTAAAATAGTGTCCTCTGTGTCCTCCTTTTCCAAGAAACCAAATATGCTCTTCTTTTATAAAAGCCACTGAAATGTAAAAAAGAGAAGAAATCTCCAGCCAAAACAAGCCTATGGATTCCAGATTACATTTTAAGATAGGCTAACTAATGTATTGTATCATTTCACTAAGGTTGTTTTAGTCAAAGAAATAAAATATAAGTATACACAGTTTTTTTTTCAACTAATCCATTGTTCACCTATAGTGCATTTGATATAGCAATGGTGAATATGAAGTTGATGATGTACTGTGAAGTCAAGTTATGAATATTTAGTTAAGACATAGTTTAGCACATAAGCCCCTGTAAAATGGTAAATTGTATTTCTTAAACTCAAACAGACCTTAATAAGAGCTTCAGATGCTCATGGGCAAATTGGGCAATAGACAGAGCTACATTAGCTGTTTTTGCTTATTTCTTGTCTTTATGCTAAGCTTAGGTAATCAGCTGCTTACAGTCGCTTCATGTTAAACCAACAGAAATGAGCGTGGTAATTGGAAGCTCTTTAACATATAACATATAAACACATTTACCAACTCAAACAAAATCCAATCCCAGTTGGAGACACTTTTTGTTAATCCTCTTTATAATGTATTACATGAAATAACATTAAAGTTAAATACAGCAGGGACTAAAAATACACAAAATAAATAGTGGTAATGACATGTAGTATCATTAACTCTGCTACAACAGAATCCACAAGCCTTTTAGTCTGACATTTTGACGTAACGGGAACATTGTGAAAAATCCGAACAGGAAAAGCCCAGGTGTAACTATTACCATTATTGATGGATCTATTCCATTATATGTACCATTCTTCTGAACCTGTGTGCATAATACAAAGGCCCTACATTGGGCACAGCGGAGTGCAATGCAGTCGTTTTAAATTTCATATCAGTCGCAACCATTTATAGTCACCTATTATCCCTGCTCAAATACACACATAAATTTTTTTTTTTGTCTTACTTGAACAAAGAACATACATAACAATACTACTCCAAACGAGAAGAGATCATATAGCCAGACTTTAGCTAATTGCTCTTTTCAATCTGCAGGTACACACAAAACAATCACTTACACAAAACATTACTCAGAGTCGACCACACTATTATTAAGCCGATTACAGTTAGAAGTACAGATATATAAAATATTAATACCAGCACATTTATCTGTACCATTATAACATTTCAACTCATTTCAAAACACAAATCACACTCAAATTAGGGTTGGAAAGACTGATGGCTCAATATTCACTTTTTGGGAGAAAAGAGTGAAAGTCTGTGTGAAAAAGCAGATTGTGCCTCAGTGGGATGTTTAAATATACATATAGGACAGATCTTAAGGTTCTGCCCATTTGCTTGGCTGGAAAAAGCTCCTCAATGGCTGAGAAGCAGCGCTTTAAATGGTCTTGAATACCAATCATACTTATAAAACAGAGTGAGATTTTCAAAATGTAGGAGGTTGTATTGAGCAATATATTGGAATGATGGTGATTGAATGATTTCTTAACAAAAACGTTTAAGGCTTGTTTAAAAAGAACATCAATTGGTTTCAGCACAGTCTGACTTGCCTGGGACTTGCCTGGGACTGGCAGGTTATACAATACTGAAGATATGAGTGTCATGGCTTGCAAAAAAGGTTTTGGAGACTTCTATTGTCAACTAGTTCCTATTATGTTTGAGTTTAAAAATCGGATATTTCAATTTTCCGACTATGTTTTTAACATTTGGAATAAATAATAAATAATTTAAATCGACAAAAAAGATATATCCCATAAGGATGAGGCTGACACGATTGTCAAGCGTAACAGCGCTTAGTGTCTGAGCTGTACAGCTGCATGAATATGATTGGGTATAACTAGCTACACAACTTTGAATGAGCCGTCCATTGTAAAGCATGCTGCAAAGAGCTGATGAAATCAGCTAACACAGGCACAACTTCAGCCTTCTACCTGAACCAAGGCAACAATTCATCAATTACATGTGTGCTTTTCCTGCTGTGAGAAATATAAAATGTCCCTTGTCAGATGTTCCTTTCCTACCCATTCATGAATAGTGGGCCAGTAGTTGTATTATATTAGTCTGTTGATACTGGACCTTTCATTTGTAGGGAGTAGGGAGGTTACATGTGTTACATGATATCAGTGATTTTGTTACATACAATGTTTATGTAAGGACTACTCTTAATTGCAACAGGCTAAAAGTCATAGTAGCTTTGCTAAAGGCTCAAATAAATGCTCCACACTTTAAAAATGGAGCATCTTCAATAGTATGGAAGTTGTTTGGTAACAAAAGGATCCATCTAAAGCAGATCATGTAACGTGTACAGTTAGCAGTGTAATGAGATGGGAATAACAACACTTATTTCAACATTTTACAAAGGAGCATGATGTGGAGTATAACCAGAGCCAAAAACATGTGACGATAACCCTACATTCAAACACTGGCATGGCCCAGCATGGCCCAGCATGGCCCAGTTTGGCCCAGCATGGCCCAGCATAGCTGAACCTCTGACAGGCTGCTTTAATGATGCAGAGAATTAACAATAAAATCACAACGTTAAAGTACAAAATAATGACGTGCATCCAGGTCCTGATTCGGATCTACTTGGATACTCTTCCTCACTCGATGATGCTACACCTTTTCAAGTTCAGTGACAGTCTGGCTGGTACTTTTTCCGTTCTCCTTCTAACAAACAGACAAACAAACCTAGGAACAAACTGAACCGAAAACAAATGAAGTCTGGCAGAAGTCATCAGACTGTGATTTAAGAAATACCCTAATTTAAGGACATATCGCCTATCCCCATCCTAGACATCGAATAAAAGTCAGCCTCAAGGAAAGAGCTAAATGTATAGTCTTCCTTCTTTCTCCATTAAAAGCAACTGGCAATGTCATTTGGTAGTTTAACCAGCGAATCAATAGTCACTTTGCTTGTCTCCCTTCTTGATGCCGTTAAGACTCTTTGACTCCTAACTATGTGATTGGTGTTCTGTGTTAAAACTCCTCCAGTCAGCCAGGGTGGCATCAGCAGTTTAGTTATCTCTTTTACCTCTTTTGTTTCTTTCATGTTGAATGTTCCTCTTCCTGTGATGCTTTCATATAATCCAGGTGCATAAAGATCTCTTGTAATAGAGTAGTAGTCTGATTCTCATCCACTTTCTAAGATAAGAATGTAGACTTGAGAGCCCCCTCTGTGTTATTGGACAATATCTAAAGTAGGGTGATAAGACAGATGAGTCCATGTAGGACGCTGATTGGATCGCACAATCGCATGCATCAGATGCACTATTAGTTCCATCACGCCATGACTCATGTTAGCCTTAATCTAATAGCCCTGACATGAGAGCGCAGTCCCACAGCCGGTGTCACGCTCCCCCCCCACACTGCCTTCAACCAGCACTGCAGACGCCTCTCTGTAACACTCAACAGATGCTAATTAACTTACAGAGAGCTATGATTACAGCAGCATGGAAATTGATTATTACTGGCTTCCCGCCGCAGCACACCCTACACTCCATTAATAGCCAGTGCATTAAAGATGGAACCTGTTGCTCGCAGGCTCGTTGAAAGGCTTTCTGCTGACAAGTGAAAACGGTATCCATCATCACAAGGCTTTAAAGTGGAAGTTTTGCATATCACATTAAACGCAGTAGCGCTGCCTCTGTTCAGATATCCTCCATGACCTTAAGCTCGGGATATATTCACTTGCACTTGCTTTTCATGTGAATTCCAATAAATGCCTCTTTGCCCTTCTAAGCACATAAACTAATTTACTGACATGTTTATTCATTTGTATCTCCAACTGAGGCTCGGGCATACTCCAGTCTTTTGTATACTGAGCTGTTATTAACACAGCAAGGGCTCGATGTCCTCTGGGTCAATTTAATATAGCTCATCCACAGAAGCAGCGGGGATGGATCACTGCCTTTTTGAGACGAGTGGTGGTGGAGCGGTGACCTTTTAAGGAAAGTTGCACCATCGCTGACTGAATGTTGTGAGTAAGCAAAGGTCAGGAACTCTGTCCGAATGTTGAACTCTCTTGTTCCTCACTTTCAACACATCAGACGCAATATTGCTTTCCAGTGAGTTGATATTAATAAATTAGTTGAGAGTAAGATAATTACCATCACCTTGTTCTGGTCAATGGTCTGGTCATTTCAATGCTTTCGCTTTCACCCGATGATATCAATTATTGCTGTTCTTTCTGTACTTCCAGTCAAAAAAATAAAACCTGCACATTGGAGGTTTGTCTTGCTCCCCACATGAGAAAGTTCAAAGTCATGTACATTCACTGTGATGTGGGCGATGCCCCCTATCAAGACACATAAAAGGAGAAATCTCTCAGCAGTGTCTGACTGCCAGACACAAACAACCTGGTATTACACATGATTTTAGTGATTCATAGGATTCTAGATAAATATGTAACTGTTGTTTGGCGTTTTTCCTTAAAAGAGGTAGAAACAGGAATGCATAAAAAGAAATGGGAATGGAGAAAACGTTTCAGTTAAGAACCGGTTCCAAATGTTCCAATCCATCAGAACTGCACGTCTCTTAAGGTTGTAAATTCCTTTTAATTATGTTGGCATGTCTCTCAGAATGGCAGTGCAAGAGTCATAATTGAGTGTATTTTATTTTGGCTTATTGCCTTTGACAAGAAACATTGTGATTTATTTCAATATATCTAGGCATGCATGTCTTTTTTTTTCTTA